CCCTCGGCCCTTAAAGGGGAAAGGTTGCCTACCCCTGCCTTATGGCAATAGCATAGAGTATCAAGATTCTTCAAGCCTGTTCTCATTAATAGAAACTATTTAGTGGAAGTACAGGGTGGTGTAGTGGTTTGAGCATTGGATTATGACTCTGGAGACCAGGGTTCAAATCCCTCCTCAGTCATGGAAAGCCAGTGTATATGACCTTGAGCAAGTCACACACTCTCAGCCTCAAAGGAAGGCAAAGGCAAACTCCCTCTGAACAAATCTTGCCAAGAGAACTCTGTTATGGTCTTAGAGTCACCATAAGTCAGAAATGACTTCAATGCACACAACAATAAATAGTCTGTTGTATCATGCACAAGCAAAAATGCATGACAAAGCCTGACAGAAATGCTGCAGATCCATCATTATTCTCTGCAAAGCTCCTTCTTTGTTACCTTCTGATACGTTTATATATTAAATTGCAGAAGCAATTTCACTTACCTCCTGGATCACAGAGAACTGTAGCCAAAGAAGAAAACAGAGAGCCACAGCCATTTTGTACAATTACCTGCAGAAGAGATGTTGGGTCAGATGTTATTCCCAGTGAGGAGTAAGGACAAAAATCTTTTTAAAAAATCCATGGCTTCCAATTGCATAAATAAAAGTGAAGAGCTGGTCTGCTTATGGACTGAGAATGATGCCCTCACAAGGCCAGTCTTTACAGGTGAGATATCAAACTTGAAAATGACTGAGCACATTCTACAGATCAAAACTTAAATACCCAACCATGGACAGTCCCAATATGCATGAGGAAATTGGCTGAGGCATATGAGCAACTCAAAAACTGAGAAGGTATTATGTTGAGAGGACAAACCACTTGTTGTCATCAGCATTTATTGCTTAATCATGGTCAAGTATGGGAAGTGAGCAAGAGGCTTGCTAGGGGAAGAAGCTAGCACCCAGTAGCTCTCTATATAGCCCATCTCCAGCTTGGTGACAGAGCTTGGTGAACAGGCAAGACCAACAGGGGTCTTTTACATGGGGCAGTATTAACGGGGCAGTATTTGAGGAGGAAGGCTAGAGTCCTGTTTCAGTGCCTACTTATGACTTCTGAATATGGACAATGAGGGAGCTGCTGCAGTCACCTGCAACAGTTGTGGGATTTTTGTGTTCTTGCCTATGCATGTAGATAACTTCACCTGCACCAAGTGCAAGTTGGTATTGCTGTTGGAAGAGAAGGTCCAGCAGCTGGAGGCCTGGATATGTACACTTCAGCATATTAGGAAGCAAGAGCTTTTCATGTACAGAATGAAGCAAACAGGCCTGGATGGGGAACATGCAGAGGAAGTTTCTGGGGAAGAGATCAGTTCCCATACACAAGAGGTAGACAGTTGGAGGACAAGTAAAAGTAGGGAAGCCAGGGATTGTTCTGGGAGCTTGCAGCTACAGAATAAATTTGAAGCTCTCTCCCTTATCAGGGATGATGAGGAAGAGCAGCAGGGACAGTCCTCGGGGAATGTACAGGGGACCTTGGGAGTACCACCACAGGGAATAGATTCTGCTAAGTCTCAGAGGAGGTGTGTGGTGGTGGTGGACTCCTTGCTGAGGGGAACAGAATCAGTGGTTTGTGAGGCTGACAAGATGTCTCGGGAGCTGTGTTGTCTCTCTGGGGGGAAAATCCATGATATGACAGTGAGGCTGGCAAGACTTGTCAAACCTATTGACCATTACCCCCCTTTTTTTTTTGACCATGTGGGAATCAATTATACTTTAAGGCACAGCCTTCAGAATATCATAAGGAATTATGAGGCTCTGGATAGGAAGCTGAAAGAGTTGCCATCTCATCTCTTCTCCCAGCTGAAGGGCATGGTCCAGGAAAGGAGAGGAAAATAGTGGATATGAACAATTGGCTCCACAGAAGATGTCACTGAGAATGATTTAAATTCTTGTGTCATGGCCTGTGGTTTCAGGAGGGGTGACTTCTGGCAAGAGATAGGTTGCACCTCATACCTGTTGGCAGAAACATTTTTGTCAATAGCCTCAAAAATCTGACCAGGAAGACTTTAAACTGAGTTATGTGGGAGAGGGAGACAGTATTTTGGAAGGCAGGAGTTCATCAAGAGCTAGAGATAATCATCAAACTCGTATAGAGAGAACAAGGCAAATACTGCAAGGACCCGACAATGGGAGGGGAAAAACTTTACACATGGGCTAATTTCTCACTTACAGAGTGACTCCTAAGAACAGAGTGGTTCATTGCTCTTCTGTGTTCATCATGAAAACCAAGAGAGCTGGAAGAGGACAGAGCCACCTACTCCACCAGCACAACCAGCATCGATATGCTGCCAAATTCAAGCAAGCTACAGTGGTAGCATTTGTGGGATGCAAATTAATAATTTGTGAGACTTGGCTTACAAATATGGTTTAGTGTTAAAAAGAATTTAAAAAAGAAACTAATGCATTTAATCAAATTATCATGGAAAATATCCATTAAATGTCATAAATGAACATTATAAATAATCCACTTATAATACAGAATAGATACCTACTCCAGTATTAATGTAACCCAGTGAGTTAGGTCATGAACATCATACCCTCTGGTCATTTTTTACATTGTGCCAATATGTAGGCAGCCATAGCAGGAGTAAATGTAGATTATATATAAATTTAAACAAGCACCCTCCCTCAGCTCTTAACATTCAGTATAATGGCTACAATATGGCTTTTCAGTGTTTGGTGTGACAGATAGCCATTTTTAGAGAAAGCTGTTTGACAGTAAACGTCAATGCATTCCTGGGAACAAAGAAACAAACTAGGAAGTAAGTTGACCTACATTTTCTGCTTTAAGAGGTGCAGGTGCTTTACAGTAATAGGTCAAAAATCGAGCCACTTCCTCTCGCAAGCTGAAGGAGACACAAAAGCAACCATGGAATTACTTTGCACAAAACTTGACTCCCCTCTAAAGCTGTACTATAGAAGATCAAAAGGGGTTTGTGATAATATCATTCCTGAGCCTACCATAAGACATGTTCATTGGCTTTAAACAGCTACCACTAGCCTACCTAGTCAGCCAAAGTCAGAGTGAGTATGCTTTTTCTAATATAAGGCAAATTTACATAGAACTGATTGGAACTGCCAGTCTCCTTCTGGCCAAGTGTCAGCCTATCCCCTCCTTTTTGACTTTCCCCTCAAATTTAAAGCTTGAAGCATGAATTGTAGCAGTTTCAGTGAACAGCAAGACAAGTATTCCATGGGTCTGTCAACCAGAATTTTTTTCCTTGTTTTCATTATCATCACCATCTCCTTCTCAATGCAAACCCTACCATTCCCCTTCAAATCAGGATTTAAGGTAGTTTACAAATTATTTTTGTTAACTGCCCTCAAATCAAACCCGACTCATTGTGACCCTGTGGATAAGACATCTCCATCCCCTGTCTTCCATGGCTCTGCTTAAGTCTTGTAGATTCATGCCCATGACCTCCCTAATTGAGTCTAGCCTTCTAATGTCTGGTCTTTTTTTCTTTCTACTATAGTCCACCCTGCTTTTAGGTGGACTTGCCATCTGCGGATTTAACCATGTCCAGATGGCAAGCCCTCATTTTGCTTAATGGTGACACGTGCATGCAACTGCACTAGCAGGTGCATGCACACTGCATCACCATTAATTTTAATGGGATGAGCATTCATGGATTTTGATATCTGTGGGGGAGGGTCCTGAAACGGATCTCCATGGATATGGAGGTCCAACTGTACCTTCAAACTTTCCTAGCATTATTATTTTTTCTAATGAGTTGTGCCTTCTCATGATGTGTCCAAAGTATGACGCCCTCACTTTTGTCATCTTGGCTTGCAGGGAGAGTTCAGGCTTGATCTATTCAAGGATCCAATTATTTGTCTTTTTTGGCTGTCCATGATATTCTCAGCATTTGTCTCTAGCATCACATCTCAAATGAGTTGATTTTCTTTTTATCCGCTTTTTCACAGTCCAGCTGTCACATCCATATATAGTGATGGGGAATACCTTGGCTTGGATGATTCTAACTTTAGTGCTCAATTGAATATCTTTGTTCTTTAAGATCTTGTTTAGTTCTTTCATTGCTGCTCTTCCCATTCCTAGTTGTCTTCTTCTCTTTTGTTTGCAGTCTCCATTCTGATCAATGTTTGATCAAAGATACAAGAAATCTTTAATTATTTTGATTTCCTCATTGTCTAGGTTGAATGTATGTATGTCCTCTGTGGTCATTATTTTTGTTTTCTTCATGTTTAGCATTAAGCCTGGCTTTGTGCTTTCTTCCTTGACTTTCCTCAGTAGTTGTTCCAAGTACATGATGCTTTCTGGTAGCCCTGGATGAAAATACATTTTCTTGCAAGCACCAATTCAAACTGGGAGCCAATCATTTCCTTGTTCCTACACATTTCTTTCAAACCCTCCACCCATATTCTACTTATTATACTGACATTCTGTCTTTCCCCAAGTGGGGAAGTTAGGTTAAGAGGGAGTGAGTAGCCAAGGTCACCAAACTGCTTTATGGCTAACTGGGGCTGTGAAGTCAGTTCTCCCCTCTCCCAGACTGACATTATATTCATTATACCAGTGCAGCTTTCTAATATCTAACAAGTGTTTCAGCCAGGCTTTTTAAAAGACACCTTTTTGGGGCCTCAGATCCAAAAATCCCCACAGCCTTGCTATACGGGGAATTCTACACACTGACCAGAAAAGTAACCTTTCTAAGCTCTGGACCCACCTTGTTTCCCTATAGCAGAATTTCCACATTCATCCTTTACATTTTCTCCCCTTTGTTTTACCAGCTCAGGCCCTAAAGAAAAGGACCTCAATTTACATCATCCCCATTTACAACATTTCAAATTTCTCCAGAAATATATAAATAAATGAAAACCTCACCCACAATGCCTAGCTCTCCCAGCATTCCCACATAATTGCGTTAGGTGGGAGAGGCAAGAGAGTGAGGAAGGGGGAGTGTGTTGGAGTTTCAGATGAGAAAAGCAGATTGGACTGGGTTTCTTTTACATGCCTAGGCTGGGGAAGCTGGGGAGGGGAAAAACAACTGCAGTGTTGACACTGGCAGGAGGAAGGGGTTTCCTTTGCCTGCTTAGGTGGAGGAGTTCTGATAGGAAGGGAACAAAAGGGTAATAGTAACAATGCCAAAATGGGTAACTTTGCTAAGCATGCTGCAGTAA